CTCTTGCTATTCTGCCTTTTTGCATTTTGTTGTTCCTATATAAACATAACAAAATACAATTTGAAATATCACACAATACTAATTTTGTTCTACTTTAAAAACTTTTATTCGCAATGGCAGAAGCATCAAGAACAACAACACACGGTAATAAACATTGATGATTGAACCATATATCTTATATTTAATGTCATATATCTATTCTAATATGTGTGTGCATGATTTACAGATGAAGCAACATCATTCCAACCACAAAATGAGATCAAAGAAATTCTCAAATATGTTAACACTAGCATGGACGATCTCGACGATGCTACCCAAAAATTGAAAGATATGATCCATGGTCTATTAGAGATAATGAGTTCAACCATGGATATTATCTCTGATTTAACTCGACGTGAGTTTTTACTTGCTGCTAAGGAGGTTGAACTACATATAAGACAGCAAAATAATTAGAAAAACACCATGTATTTAGTTTTTCCTTTTTACCTCTGTTATCATAACATAATTAAAATAAAAGTATATAGTGTTCAATTCCTGCTGAATTACAAATTGACCATTTCAATCTACCATTACTTGCATTTTATCAAATTAAAAGAGGAATATGAAATATCTGTACTACATACATTAATTGAATGTATGTGAATCATCCCTATTTTATCAACACTAATAAGCAGCAAACACGGGACCAATTAACGACATCCTAAATGGCAATCATATAACGATTCTTAGCAATCTTTAAACATAAAAACCCGATTAAAAAAAAAAAAAAAGAACAATAACAAAATGTTCTATTATAATCAATATTTGACATATTTTTTTTGTGAAACAATAATAGTTTACAATTTCTTAAAATATAAAAATTCGATAATAGAATAAAACAATATAATAAATAAACCCGTGCAACGCGCTGGCGTGCCATCTAGTGTTATTATATTTGTCATGCTATGTGTCATAATAATTTATTATTTTTTAATTAAAATGTTATATAGTTATATATTTAATTGTTGATGACATTTGAAAAAAAAAATCCAAACATATTATATATATAAGAAAAACAAAAGCATCATAATATTTTATTATTGATTCCCATAAAAAAAATTCATTCAAACTAAACCAAGCATAATATAAAAAAGAAAAGATATAAATATATATAATAATGTATACCATGTTTTTCGAACATAAATGAACAAATAATCGAACAGATTGTTCGCGAATGGACGGATCAGTCAGTCGAACGTATTATGTTCACGAACATAATCGAACGAACATCCTATGCTCAAACTTGAATCGAACATATTATCAAACGAACATCGAATTGTTCGCGAACAGTTTCTTATCGAGTCGAGTCGAACAATTATCGAACGAACATGAACAGCTTAGTTCATTTGCAACTCTACAAACATACAAATCAAGTACAATATATGTGTGTGTGTGTGTGTGTGTGTGTGTGTGTGTGTGTGTGTATCTATTAGTGAAAGCACATCAACTAATGTCTTAAGATCACTTGTTAGTAGAAGAATCCTTTAATATATACCACATACATTAGTTTCCTTATCCACTAATTTTAAGCTTCAAAAGCAACGAATTCCAATTTGTCCGAGTCACTTTCCTACATAAAAGGATGGCCTTATTTTATAGCAAATATAAANTAAACCATTGTTTGTTTATGAAATTTCATATTATTACTGATTTATTTCTGAACGTAAATTGATTCAGTTTTGATTCCTTTATTATGCAGCCAACCTTTGGCAGTGATGGTCACAGTGAGCATTGATGGGGGTGACATTCGGAATAATTTAATGAACACTTCTTTTTTAGCATAGAAACAGTATGAACCATTTAAAAAAATATATATATTGTCCATTTATTTTGTTTTTCTATGTCTTATAAACAATGTTATATTGCAAAGTGTTTATCAATGAAGCATATTTTATTATCTAAAATTTGCAAACTTACATTCTTAGATAGGTTATACATGTTTTTGTTGTGGATTCTGTAGCCAGTAATAGTTTGTGTTTTGTGGCGAATAGAGTTTGTATTGGATGATGAAGGATGACAAGTTTTATTTTATTTTATTTTTGCTCATTTCATGGTGTTGGGAAGCCTTTTAAAACGGTGAAAGATTAACTGTTGGACCTTAAAGCAATAGTTATATTCCATGCAGGAACCACTAATTTTAACAAGGGCAAAATTGTCATTTCAATTATATTATTATGTACCAAATTGTTGTAAAAAAAGTGTTGCAACTCTTCTTTTGTTTGAAAAGGGAATATATTCCTATCACTAAAATGTTTCAGTATTATATAGTTCTTCAATTAATTAATTTATTTGTGTCAAAACCACTTTCATAAGTTGCGGGACTTTCAACTTCTATGTATTGAATTCAATTAATTCAATTCCTGATGAATTACAAATTGACAATTTCAATCTTCCATCACTTGCATTTTATCAACTTAAAAGAGGAATATGAAAGATCTGTATTAATACATTAATTGAATGCATGTGAATTGTCCCTATTTTATCAACATCAATAAGCAGCAAACACGGGGACCAATTAACGACATCCTAAATGGCAATCATATAACGATTCTCAGTAATTTTTAAACATAAAAACCTGATTAAAGAAAAAAAAGAACAATAACAAAATGTTCTATTATAATCAATATTTGACATATTTTTTTGTGAAACAATAATCTTTTATAATTCCTTAAAATATAAAAATTTGATAATAAAATAAAAAACAAAAACAACGCGGGCTGCCATATAGTATTAACAAGGCTGTGAAAGCCGATCTTCGTTGCTAGAGATGGCAATGGGCCCGACATTTTCGGGTACCTTTTCGGGCCGGGCTTTACCCGAGGTTGGCAGGCTTGGGCTTGGGCCTGAGCTTGATTTTAAGGCCCGACCTCGGGTACGGGCCGGGCATGGGTACATCTTTAGGCCCAGCCCGACCCGGCCCGTCCCGAACATTTTAGTATTAATTTTACTAATTTACCCTTATACTATATATTTAATTACAATATTATCCTATATATATATATATATATATACCGGCCCGGCCCGGCCCATCCCCAAAAATTTTAGTATTAATTTTACTAATTTACCCTTATACTATATATTTAATTACAATATTATCCTATATATATCTATTTTTCCCAAACCCTAACCTCAATTTTTATCCCATATTGAAGGTTTAACATGTTAAAATTGCCTTTAAATGAGTTAGATGGGTTTGGTTCAACTTATAAAAGTGGATTTCACCATAACATATTATGCACAGCTGAAAAGTTAGTATAATCAAATATTATGGAGTTTTAATTGCTTAATTATTGTTTAAATTATTTGCGGAAATAGCTTCAATTAATATTTAAAAACTATTTCTAAAATTAAAAAAAAAAAAATTGAAATTTATTAATATTTAAAAATAAACATTATTAAAAAAGGCGGGCTTGGGCCGGGCCTATGGTTATAAAAAACCCGTCGGGCCGGGCTTGGGCTTTGCCTATCATCCCCGTAGCGGGCTCGGGTCGGGCTTGGGCCTGTGTCATGAGGTCGGGCTTGGCCTGGGCCAAGAGGTACCCGGTCCCGGCCCGGCCCATTGCCATCACTATTCGTTGCCTCTCCTTTCAACCCTGCCCTGGTTAAATAAACCAAAGCAATCTCTGTTTCACTTTATAAATTTATACTACTTAATTAAAAATTTAGAACGTTGCATGAAGAAGCAGCACCAGTGGTCTAGTGGTAGAATAGTACCCTGCCACGGTACAGACCCGGGTTCGATTCCCGGCTGGTGCATTTTTCTTTTCCTTATTCTTTTTTAAAAATTAATGTATTGAAAATTCTTTTTTAAAAAAATATGCCTATTAAAATGTGTAGAGAAATTGGAATTGTAGTAACACACCCATATATATAACACCGGAACTAGTTTTTGAAAAAAAATGTCCTATATTAAGATAATAGAAACTATAAGGATCAAATATATCTTTCACTTTGGGTGTTATTGATTTTTCACATTTGTAAGTAGAATATTCTATTAGAAAACGGTGTCCAGGGGAGGTTGTTGAGGAAAGTTAATGCCTCAGACGTAAACCTCAGAGGAGCTACTTTATAATATACGCAAATTAAATATAATTTAGTTCTTTCTAACTAATTCTATTAGAAAACGGTATCCAGGGGAGGGTTTTTTTTTTTAGTAAACACCTATGTCAGTCTTTTTCAGTGAACACTTAAAAGGTTTTTAAATTGTTACCTAACCCTTGTGTGTTTGACCTTTTTATAAGAAGCATCGGCTAGTTTTAAACATGTAACTCCCTAAATTTAATCAATCTAACATCTAAAATCTGTTAACGATATTAAAAAGTTAATATATATTTTTGAGATTAAATTGGTGAAATTGTTTACAAATTTTAAGGTGGAATTGAAGATATTTTTGAAACATACACCTACTTCCTTGTATACAAATTTTATTTTGTCAACGTGGTTTAATGCTGTGGCGGGAACGTGGTTTTCCTGAAACCACAAATTTTGATATGTCTTCACTCTATAGTCGGTTTCTACCAAAGCAAACCAATTCAGATCCAGAAGATTCGCGGAGCCGAAAAAGGTCTCTTCCAATTTCTGTTAATTAGCTTCCGACTTTTGAGAATCTAACTTGAATTTGTCAACGTCTACGGCAAGTCACATTAAATGTGAATTAATGACTACAACCGACCTCTCCCTCAATATTCTTCCAGTGTTCACACTCACCGTTGAATCCTTCCCACGCCTTGCTCCAACCTAACTCTCCACACCAAACTTTAAGCTCAGTAAAAGGAATGGTTCGTATTCTTTCAAAATAGTACTTTTGTAAATATAATGTATGATATGGATACCATAATACAGATATTATATATAATTTTAATAAAAATAGTAAAATTATTAGTAACTGGTGAGTAAACATAATGCTTCCAAAATAACTTACCTATTTTAATACAGGTCGATATTCCTTGTATATATAGACACAGAGCTCCCATAAACAGAGCATAAAGACTATTACATTGAGATTAAAGGCAATGGCGAAAAGTGACGTGAAGGTTCTGGGTGCATGGCCGAGCCCATTTGTGATGAGGGCAAGAATCGCCCTCAACATCAAGTCTGTGGACTATGAGTTCTTGGAGGAGACACTTGGATCCAAAAGTGAACTTCTTCTCAAATCAAACCCAATTCATAAGAAAATTCCTGTTCTCATACATCAGGATAAACCTGTTTGTGAATCTCTCATTATTGTTCACTACGTCGATGAGGTTTGGTCCTCTGGTCCCTCCATTCTTCCATCTGATCCCTACGATCGTGCCGTCGCCCGATTTTGGGCCGCCTATCTTGATGAGAAGGTACCTACTTTTGGTTTGTTATTTTACTTTAGTTCTTTGTTTTGTTGTAAAAATTCAATGGGAAATTCATATAAGAATGTTTAATGTATAATTATTTGTCCAGTGGTTTCCTTCCATGAGAGGAATGGCGAGTGCCCAAGGAGAGGAAGCCAAAAAAGCTGCAGTCGACCAATTTGTGGAAGGTTTGAATTTGATGGAGGACGCTTATGTGAAGTTGAGCAAAGGGAAGCCTTTCTTTGGAGGGGACAAAATTGGGTACCTTGACATTGCATTCGGTTGTTTCCTGGCGTGGCTGAGAGTGACAGAGAAGACGAGTGGGATGAAGCTTCTTGATGAAGCCAGGACTCCTCATTTGGCCAAATGGGCTGTGAGCTTTTGCGCTGATCCTGCTGTTAAGGATGTCATGCCTGAAACTGAGAAGCTCGCTGAATTTGCTAAGCTTCTTGCCAAGTTCAAACCTGCCCCTCCAAAATAATTTCATTCTGAGATTAAATTATTGGAGAGGCTAGAACTAGTTGTGTGCTCAAGAGAAATAATGTTGTTTTGACTTTCTTGAGAAATAATCTTAAAATTAAGTATGTATTGTGGAACTTACAAGTAATTTCTTTTGGTCACTTTTGTGTTTGGTTGCAGGGAAAACTCTCCTCTCCTCAAGACTCTCTCTTGGTTCCATTTGGAAAAGTTTAACTACATAAAACAGGCAGAGATTAGGAGTTCTAATCAAATGCAGATGCTTTTATTAAAGTTGGGACAATTGGTTCATATGAATTAGTTTCTCATCAGTCTCTGATATTCTCCATTAATATGCGTACCAAATAATCCTTATCTAGTTAGTTTCTGAACTAGATGCTCATCAAGCAGACTTCGTATCCAATTGGGCACTTTTTTTTAGTGATTCTCTTGTTTAATCTTGTCCTCAATCTTGTAATTTGATTTGTAGACAGTCACAGAAACTAAGACAAGCCCATGCCTATGTATATTCCACTATCAGAAAATTTATGGCATTGAATTATAAGGATTGGATTATCCGGAAAACAACATTTGAGCGGCCCTTCCTACCCACCACTTAGCCAGTGTGGTAGCTGAACCCTGCTCATCAAATCCCAAATGTCCACTATTTAAGCAAGCACGCAAAATATCGCATTGACCTACAGCTTGGATTGCATATTAAGTCATACAAGTTTGACTTCCAATAAAATCTTCCCAATCCTGTCCTTTATGTTTATTTAGTCGGCTTTTCTCGAGGTTGTTGCAGGATTAGAAAATCTCATCGTAAAGAGTAATAAATTGATGAAATGAAAGATATTTGACCAAAAGGGCGACAACCCAACCTCCCCTGAGGTTTAATATATTCTTACAAGACCCCTTGAGTATTGAAAACCATGACTGAGCACCCCTCCTCACCCAGGTGTCACTTAATGATAATGGATAGTGGATACAATGGAGCTCTATGAGGCATCTATTATAAGATAATTAATTTTGAGGATTCAAAGTAAGATGTGGTTTACATATTAATTAAACCTACTTTGACCCTAGGAGTGAGCAGTTTTGGGTATTTGTATTTTTTAGGAGAATTGGAACCGCATAGTGCAGATTCCCTAAAAAAAGAATTAGAATCAGAATCACACAATGCAGATTCTTAAATTCAAGGAATCGAAACCTAAAATGTAGGTTCTGGTTCCTTTCCTAGATACCCTATAAAAAATTAATTACCCCCTTATTAGTTTAAAAAATGACAAAAATACTTAAATGTTTATAAATTCACCCCTAACAAATTTTGATTATTCATTCATTTGTGTTCAATGTGACTCATAAACCCTCTAATTTATAGACAACACTTGAATTCAATCAATTCATCACAATTCACATAAAATTCCTCAATCAAATCCAAAGCACAAACAATTAATTAAATAATCATACTATAAATCTATAATTTAATATTATAATTAATTAAATTTTTAATCATTTAATTAAATAATGTAGTAATATAATAAATTATTAATGTTTATAATGTAATGTTATAAATTTATAATTAATTAAGTAATCATTTAACTGTGTAATGTTATAATTAATTAAGTGATTGTAACATAATGTAATGTTATAATTAATTAAGTAATTATTTAATTATAATGTAAGGTTTTAATTAATTAAATTTCCAATCATTTAATTAAGTATTGTACTGATGTTTATAATGAAATGTTATAATTAATTAAGTAATCATTTGTTTATAACGTAATGTTATAATTAATTAAGTAATCAATGTAATGTTATAATTAATTAAATTTTTAATCATTTAATTAAGTATTGTGTTAATGTAGTAATCATGGAATGTTCATAATATAATCTCATAATTAATTAAGTAATCATTTAATTATGTAATGTTATAATTAATTATGTGATCATACTATAATGTAATGTTATAATAAATTAAGTAATCATACTATAAATTTTTAATGTAATATTATAATTAATTAAATTTCTAATAATTTAATTAAGTATTGTACTAATGTTTATCATGAAATGTTATAATTAATTAAGTAATCATTTAACTATAATGTAATGTTATAATTGATTAAGTAATCATTTAACTAGTAATGTATTAATGTTTATCAATTTATCATATATAATTAATTAATTACTAATTTACTACATATATATACGTACTTAGAACTTGATAATTAAAGTAAATAACTAAATATTATATTATTATTCAATCAAATATACTATTTTATTCAAAAATAATTCTTTTAATAATATTAAAACACTTTTAGTTGGTACTAATTCCAATTATATACTTAATTAATCAAAACTTTAATATTAATATATTAAATTTTTTTAAATGAAGTAGTTTATATGTAATAAGTATAATTGTATATTTATTTAATTAGGTTATTGTAAAAATTTAACTTTTTTCCATTTTAAATTTTTTATATGTAAAATTACAATAGACCCCCTATTCTTCACAGATATTTTTTCAGCCTAGGTTCCAAGCCGGGTACCCACTGCAGGTTCTTTTTTCAAGGTTCTGGTTCCGGTTCCTCCACATGTAAGAATCAGAACCAAAACCACACAGTGTCGGTTTCAAAAAAATGGAACAGGAACCTACCCGCACAGTGTCTGTTTTGGGTAGGTTTCGATTCCGATTATACCCACAAGTTTCGGTTCTACCTGCTACCTGTGCTCACCCCTATTTGACTCAATTCATTGTGAAGAAGCATAAATTAAAATGAGTTCATGAAAAGTTTAACTTCACTTGTTATTTGTATCAATTGGCTTTAAAGTTTAAACTACCTTGCATGTGGCTAATTTGCGCCCTCCATGTGCTGTAATTGCCTAATTTGCCTTCTCCACACCGCTCCAGCATGCATATATATATAATACTAGGGATGTTAACGAGCCGAGTATTTGGCTAAAGGAGCTCGGCTTGTGAGGGGGAAAGTGTTAAACAAGTTCAAGTTGAGCCAAGCCGAGTCGAGCCACTGATTGCTGGCTCGGCTCGAACTCGTTAAGGGATATAGGGCAATCGAGCTTGGCTTGCGAGCCGGTACTAAAACATCCAATTTTTTTTTCGGATCAGACCTAGTTTTTTCATGGTATTGAATCAATTTTCTATCATATACATTAAAACAACAACTAAATCTCTTTATAAATTAAACATAAAAAAAAATGTTGGGGACATGCATGTATAGTATATTCCATTTTGATGCCACAAAGGCACACAATATTTGACAAACACAAGTAAACATGCATGTATTTGGTAAACAACTGAATCTCCACTTGTGATCATTTCATCATACTATATACAAAATACCATAGTCAATCTATTTCAACAAATTAAGTGAAGTGAACTAAAGTTTTTATTTGGTTTACTTTACTTAATTCATCTTTCATCAGAACAAAAAAGGGACTATATACAAATTTAATCACAAACATCATAATATAATGTTTCATCCAAAAAATGGTTGCATGTTGGGCAGCTACATTCCAAAACCATTCTTGCCCTACTCCTACAAAAATAAAAATAAAAATAAATAAATAATCACTTAAGGACATAAGTACATAAGTACATAAAGATGAATATGCGAACCCAAACAAAAAATCAATTAAGTCAAACTTGCACAATCTTGCTACCACAACCAATGACATGTGGGAGAATCAAACAATCTAATGATTCTCGTCAATTGACGGGATATGAAGAACAATCTCCAAGTGGTCTTGCTCTTTTTGAAATGAAATAAGTAATAAAAATTATGTTTACATTAATATAAAGTAACTATAAATATTGTATTACACTAAAAATATAATCAATGGAACTTACTTTGGACCCTTTCTTCACTCCATTCAAAGATCGACACCAATTACATCCACATAAGAGCATTTCCACCGTGTCCGGAGACAAAGAAGCTCAATAACTGTCAATAACCATACTCCTAACACTGAATGCAGACTCTGAAGCAACCCTAGTGATCGGATGGCTAGTAACTCACGAACAAACATAGACAATATAGGGTACTTGGTTGAATTTGTCTTCCACCATTGTAAAGCATCGAATGCCTCACGATCCCTTACGCACTTATGACACCCCTCTCCCAAATAACAGTCTAGCTCAGACTTAGTTGGCTCAATAGTCTCCACCACATCCAAAAAATTGCTAAAATCATCCCAACTCGTGGCTCCCGGAGCCGTTGCCTCCTCACCAACGGCTCCAATTCCATCCCCTACTATTGGAGGCCCGCGAGAAATAGGAGAAGCTTTATTAACTTTAACATACTCTCCATATAGCTCATACAGTACATCCCGAACAGTTACAGTATTTGCACGAGCTTCTAACTCATAATACATCTTGGGGAAGGCCCACTGAATTATCCTCATTTTCAATCGAGTATCCAATACAGGAGCCATAGACATTAGCACATTACATTCCCTCCAATATTTATCGAACTTCTCATTCATCTTCCTCACCATGTTTCTAATGAACTCATCTTCGTCTTCACTCGTACTATCCAACATCATTTTCACTAAACATGCCTCCTTTAAAAATAAATTAGATGTCAGATAATCACTCCCACTAATGAGATTGGTTGTACCACTAAAATGTCACACACTTTCTCCACTTTCTCCCAGTCCTCGTCCTGTGGACAGTAATGATAACTTGAATCCTTTTCTTTCAACCTGGTTTTAAACTTAATTATTGTTGCCAACATTTCATACATCGAATTCCATCTTGTTTTACAATGCAGAATAAGCTTGTGAAATGACAATTTAAGTTGTTGCACAATCTCAATAAAAACCCTAATCCTACTCTCTGAAGTATTGATGTACAAGATGCTCTCATGGATGTCGTTGATGATATGCCTAATCTGATAAAGTTCATCTTAAACAATGAGGTTCAAGATATGAGCACAACATCTAACATAAAACAATTTACTTCCACAAATCAAATTCCCCATAACTTCAAAATTTTCCCTCAAAAATACTGCTTACAATGTCATTACTTAAAGTGTTATCCACTAAGATAGTGTAAACTTATTTTCAATCCCCTATTCCATAAGGCACTTGGAAATGGAGTTAACAATTGCAACACTGGTACGGGGAGGAGGTAAATGCACAAAGTTGAGGACACGTCTATTCATCCTCCATGTACCATTTATCCAATGCCCAGTGAGCACCATATACTCCATCTTCTGATTGCCGAACTTCCAAAAATCCATAGTCAAACTAATCTTAGTCACATTCTTCAACAACGTCTTCAACTTCACTTTCTCACTCTCATATACTTTCATACAATCATTTTTGCAAGTATGGCGGGAAACCGAACTCCATTCAGGAATCTCATACTTCATTATATTGTTCAAGCCCTCTTCCTCCACAACTCAAAATGGATGCTCATGCATAAGCACCCAATGGCAATAAGTTCCCTCGTCTTCATCATGTCGAACTTTCCACTTAATGCAAGCAAAACAGAAGTTCCAACATCAGAACCGACAATAGGAAAAGTAATGTGTTATTGCCTCATGGAAGCTATTCTCTTTGAACACTATTTCAAATGTCTATTAAACTAGGTGATGCTTTTGGTGGCATTAATAGGCAGCTTGGCTTTGCAATGAATACACTCTGTCTTTTTTTGTACCCCTAGGAGAACCACCTTCTTACACTCTGTCCAAACAACTGATGTTTTAGTTCTTTAAATCCTTTAAATTGGATTCTCATTTTGCCTACCATTATCTGGGCTATTAACACTGTGTTCCGTATTTGTAGTGGTCTCATTCAAGGCACGTTTATTGCCCGGTGTAATCATAATTGTATTTTGCTCTATAGGGCTGCTTGAGGTACTGTCGACCATTTCCAAACCTATAATACAAAATAAAAACAAAGGGGTTAGCTACATTTAATATAAAGTAATTTAAAGTAAAAACAAATCCTGCATTTAATATAAAGTTCATTCCAGCCGTGTAGCATTTAATATAAAGTTCATCACTCCTCATTCTTAACACACCCGAATACCATTCTAAACAGCACAGTCCACACTCCACATCACAAACACGTTACACATTTCAATCTTTTCCTCAAAAGTCAACACAAACGCAACAGCTACATCCCAAAACATTTTCATTTTTGAACATTAGTTACATAACACGTACATTCATTTAAAGCCTATACTGCATTTAATATAAAGTGAATGTGTCATTACTCATTTACTCCTCATTCAATCATCTCAACACACCCAAATAATTTCCTAAACAGCACAACATAGCACAAACACCTTACACTTACACAGAACAAACACCTTACATTTACATACCACAAACACTCCATAGGACCATAGCACAAACACCTTACAGTTACACAACACAAACATTACACTTACATAACACAAACACTTCCTCAACAGTGAACACAAACGCAATAGCAGTTACAGCACAGTGCACAACATTGGCATTTTTCAACATCACAAATTTCACATTTCAATCATTCATATTTCCATACAGGTATTTTTGTTGGGAAAGCAAAGAAGAAAATTGGTCAAAAAAATACCTGACAGAGTTACTGTGACGGCGAGAAGACAACATGACAATGGGCAAGATCTTGGGTAGGAGGAGAAGCAGATTGTGATGAAGAGAGCTTAGCCTGGCTGACAAAAATGGCAAAACGAGGATGATGAAGGTGAACTGTGAAACAGGTGACACCGGTGGCTATAATAATGGAAGATGGCAACTGTGGGCAACAACAATGGCGAAGGTTGATCGGGATTGTCAATTTTTGGTAGGGTTCTTTTTTCAATTTAGGGATTTAGGGGTTAAAACCGTGTTTTAGTTTTTTACAATGGGGGGAATTTGTGAAATTTTAAACTATTATGCTTAATAACTGCAAATTTTATTTACCCCCTATAGATTGAAAACCCTCTGCGTTACCCTCTCTATCTCGAGACAGAATCGGCTTGCAAGCTATCAAGTCAAGCCAAGCAATGTTCGAACTTGGCTTGCATATACTTCATGAATCAAGCCAAGCCGAGCTCTTCTTGTCGAGCCGAATCGAGTTGGCTCACTAGCAACTCGATTCGTGTAACAGTCCTATGTAAAACCAACTAGGAAAACAAATAATAATAATAATACTATATACTAATTAATTAAAGTACAACATTGAAAAATTATCTTTATTATCAATTAGAAGACACATTCTTAAAAAACTGAAAGAAAAATGATACAAGTTTCATTTGTATCAATAAACGGACACATTTATCAATCAATGGACACTTATCATTAATAAACAAACATTTTTTCATATTTTTATTAAAAAGCTGATATATTTTTATTAAGAAGTGTCATTTAATTCATAAAGGTGTTTGTTGATACAAATGAAACTTGAGTTCTTTTTTCCATTAGCTTTTCAAAATAGTATCCCCCTAATTAATAATAACCCAAAAAAAGTTTGTTTACTACAAATAAAGGTAAATTGTGTCAATGTCCAATTAAATATTCCTTTGACACATCAATCCCGAAACTTTAATAAAACATAAGATATTGTTGTTGCGATATTTCGCACCAACGAGATTACACAAGCCTTCTTGGGGAGTTCACACAAAGGGTTTGTGTGAGACCGTGAAATATAATATTGAACACATAGGTGATAATGGAAATAATGCGTGAAAGTAAATTAAAGAATTGACAAGAGCAGTTCTTAAATCGGTTCAAATGCAAGGCACAATTCCCACGACCACTTTTATCTTATTGATGTGTTTATAGAAGATATCTATTATGAAAAGAGATAACTGCTATTTATACTGTTGTATTGGTGGTCTTGCTCATGAAGCAACCTTCTTACTGTATGACACGCGGCCTGACAAACCACTCTGATTGGAGACTTAATAGCGAAGCAATCCTCTCATAAGATGCCACACGACCTCAATGGTGATTTAAGTCATGAGTCTTAATGTTGAAGCAAATCCTTTCAGTCTTATATAAGAAGCCATCCTTTCTTGGTATAACATGTGACCCAAACACTTGCATGGTCGTGGGACACGTGGCAGGAGTTTATACACCAATTGCTTAGTCATAGGAGATGTGTCGAGATTTTATTGTGTGGTGAATTTACCATATAACAGATACCAACATGGGGATAAGGTTATTGACAATTGTCTAAACAGTAATGTTAAGTCCACAATTTTCTCTCACAACTCTTAACGTAACAGCTCACAATTGGTTAGTTTGCGAAAGAATAGGTGAGACCCATAACAAATAGGCGAGACTTATTTGCGAACTGTCATGTAGGAGGTTGTGAGAGAAAGTTGTAAGATTGGGTTGTGGACCTAGTATTATTCTGACCTATAAAACATTACTTATTTAACTTTAACTTGTATGAAAAAATTCCCCGAGCCTCCATTAGTCTCAGATTTGTCAAGAATTTATGTAATGTTTAATCCAAATTAATTTTACATGGTAAGAATTAATGCATGTTTTAATCAAAATTCATTATTGACAAAACACTTGTCTTTAACATTACAAAAGCCGACTAATAAGACAAGCAATTGATTGATCTGACGCCAAATCTCAAAATCATCAATTAACAAGAAACTTGACGAAAACGATGCCCTTGTGCTTGTCTAAGAACAAGTACTCAAGACTGATAAAACTGACAAAGACCACTGAACTCAACCCAACACCTGTTGGCCGTTGGACTCCCCGATACACTTCCCTTTTGCCAGTCACAACTCCACTAATTCATCTTTTATCTTAATCTTGTTATTCCTGCCCCCCGTACTGTAGAGGAAGGAATAGACGAGCCAAATGGAAGGGGTGAAATTAGACAAATGGGGTTACGAAGTCAAGACTCGTTCTGATTCTTGCGTTTCTGCCATCAACGCGTACTATCATCAGGTTGGTTTTTGTTTTTGTTTTTGTTTTTATTTATGTTTATGGATTTGTTTTTGGGCCTCTGAAAATACGATTAATAGTGTTTTTCGGTTTGTTGATGTATGAAGGTTCTTAGTTATGGGAGAAAGAGGCGTGCAATATTGGAAGCGGCAGAACATGATAAAGATTGCGTTTTGGCCAACATTTTGGCTGCTCATTTTATGGCTTCCAACAATCCTTCTAAAGCTTCTGCTTATATTCACGCAGCCGAGTCTCGTCTCGTAAGTTTTTTTTTTTTTCATTTAATTTCGGGTTTTTTTTTTTTTTAATTATCATGAAAAAGAATCAATTCAGACGGCTCAACGTAGGAATAGTCCATTTGATTTCTACTTTCTTTTTTTTATGGTTGAATTTTGTGGTTAATACTTAACAGGAAGGAGCCACCTCATACGAGAAGGCGGTATTTGAAGCTGTCTGTTATTTGATTTCTAAGGACAGAGACGATGATGTAGCTGTTGACTTGCACTTTAAGGTGGGGAAGAGTTTAAAATTCACCTATCTTCTTAATTGTCTTATAATGTATAAAACTTTCAAAATCTTCGAATTAAATGACTAGGCTATGAATTTTGTTTGTCACAAAAGCACTTAGTTATTGTTGCATAATAATTGCATGATGTAGATATCTTGTTATGGCTTAAAACATTGATTTAATTTTGCTACCATTCTATGATTACCAAATTTGGAATGATTTTTGAGTTGAAAGTATTATATTAACAAAGGGACCATATAGTTGAAATATTTTTCATGTGAAGCACATGTAACTTGCAGATTTTACAACTTTCTCTCCTATTTTTTATTTAAAGCTCACAATATTCTTATTTATGAAGTGAAGTATGAATTTTGCATGTTTTCTCGAGACAGTTCAGTTGAGTTTCTATCTTGATGTATTTTTCAGATTCTTTGTTCATTGCAAATGAAATTTATGTCTTTTGCAGCTACTAAAAATTTTCCCAAGAGATCTGGTTTCTCTGAAAAGGGTCCAAGTGCTGTGCTTCTACATGGGTCGGCCTGATCTGTCTTTGGCCATTGTTGAACAGGTGCTCTGCTATTCGCTTAGTGAATTATGCTCATGGTTCTTTAAATAAAGTGCAAAAATGAATGATTATTAAATCATTCCAATAGCAACTTCTTATTTGTATTAAATTAAAGGATTAACAGACCTATATTTTAAATATTATATGGTAAGAAGATATATGCTTCCAAAACAACAGTTATTTATGAAAACCACTCTTGAGTTGTGTTGTCTCACTGGGTTCTATTGATTTGAAATTTTATAGGTTCTACCCTATAATCAACTAGAAGAGTATGTATATGGTATGCTTGCTTTTCCTTTACTAGAGCTGGGACGAATTGCAGATGCTGAGGAAGCTGCAAAAAAGGGATTTGAGATCAACAAGCAAGACTTCTGGGTGCAACATGCTGTGAGTTGTCATTATTGTTTTCTTCTTTAAGAAAGATAACTTTACCATGTTTCTAAAATTTCACCTTAAGTTTTGTAAATTATCTTATTCTAGTTTAGATTTTGAATTTATGAATCTTACACTTCTTAGAAGCTTTCTGAAGTTTGTCCTTATTTATTAGCTCTGACCACTGCAGCTTTAGAATTATGAAAAATAATTGATCATCAATACATCTGAGTTTCCACAGTGGACCTGATTAAAGAATGTGTCTTTTATCATTCTAATTTATTAAGACAAGAAGCTGCTGTTACGATCATCCAATGGTATTCATAGTGAGTGGATTTGCATGCAGTTGTGTCATGTTCTTCAATATGAATGTCGTTTCCAAGAAGCAGTACGTTTCATGGAAGAATGCTCATCAACATGGAGTTCTTGCTTATCTTTCATGTATGTATATTAATTCATTAAACTGTTTTTATCCATATTTTGGTTACCTTTTTGTTTTTATGATTTTGTGTGTGAATCGTTTAAATATTTAGGTATACACACAATTGGTGGCATGTGTCCCTTTGTTACTTGGAAGGTCATTCTCCAATGAGTAAAGTCCTAGAGGTTTATGACAATCATATCTGGAAGGAGTTGGATCGAATTGATGCAATGCCTCCAGAGGTATGTGTTTTTGTTCAAAAATATGATGAAGATTTTTTATTGTGAGTCCTCATGTCTTCTGTATTTAGGTGTACCTTAATGCTTTAGGTTTGTTGTTGCGGGTTCATGTACGAGGCAAACTTGACATCTTTGGGGACCGTCTGAAGATGTTAGCAGGTCGTGTAAAAGATAAAGTGAGTAGACCACCCAAAATTTTTTAGTTTTTGATAGGTGTAACTAACTTGTCTTGAGAAAGTGTTTAATTCATTCGAGTTACAGATGTTCTAAGAAATTGAGGTTAGAAGATATATTATGATTATTGTGGCTTCTTTTTATTTATATACTGCTTACCAGAGCAAGTTTATCTTTATGATTTTTATTTTTTTTTTAATATAGATTTTGCACATTTTTACTCATTTTTGGACCATGTTGAATGTTTTTACTTCGAGAACCTCTTTTTTGTTTTAAACATCTAGTATCTATTTTGTTCACCATAGTTACATCAGTATGAAATCACATTTCTATGAACATGTGTGTGTTTGAATAATTATAAATACACATAGTTAAGAGACAGTGTGAAAGCGTGAATAATAATGCATATTGTCCTTGTTAGCTTGCCTTTAATTACCAAGTTACATAAAGCTCATAACCAGTTATGATGTGGATTCTGTAGATTATGATCCTGTCCTCTTCTAGCGAGTGTACGTTTTGCTGGAATGGCAGGTACCTAGTCTCACGAAGTGAGTGTTGCAGTTCATCTCATTGTAGTTTTCCTCTTTATGTAGATCAAATAGGAGGAAAATTTTAAAATAATTTATCTGTGTAATTTGGGAGAATGCATATGGTCGTGATCTGTGAAAGGAAACATTTTGCTTGTTAGATTGCATGCTAGGATAATATAAACTTGAAATGGAGCACATTCTTCTTATGCAGATTGTTTCAAATGATGTTTTTTCCATTTTTTTCACTATTAACCACATGTATATGCCACTTCACCAATTTTTTATTTTATTTTATTATTTTTTTGCATTCTACAATATTCTGGATTTTCTACATGTGAACTAGGGCAACTGGTATTTAGAGTGGCATTTCGATCTGTTGATATTATGGGCATTAGCTTTTACTGGAGAACTTTCTAAAGCAGAAGATTTACTCAAAGGCCTGAAGTCAAGGTTAGAAGAATATACTTCCCTTGCATATTTTATGTGCAGCCAGCATTTATTCATTTCAATTATTTTTCTTTGCAGATTTTCTATGATGATCAAGAAGAAGCAACAAATAATGCAGATAGGATTACAGGTTTATTATGATTTTCTCTTCTTTTGCCGCTTACCATAAACTTTGTGTCTCGCCTTCTTCACTCGTGCTCTGATATCATGTAAAAGCTGCCTTGAGAATCTTGGTCACAACACACTTTAGCTGTTTCTTGTTATGGAAGGCTAGAGGTGTTGACATTTTCATTGGAGAACTAGGAATACTGTTAGTTATTAGCTTAACAAAGATTTTGTGGTAATGTTATTACTAAAAGATGGATACAAAAATATTAACATCCTGCCTCCGGCTTTGCATCTTAGCTCTTGTAATACCGTGATGCTCCTACTGTGAGTATTGTCAATGCTTTAGGCCTTAGTTATCCTATTTTGCTTTACACAGCTTGCAGAAGCCTTAGTTAACCTATTTTGCTTTACACAGCTTGCAGAAGCCCTATACGAATACGGAAGGGGTAATGACCAAAAAGCATTGGATTTGCTTGGTCCAGATTTTGATGCCAATTTTTGTAAGGTATTATTAGTGAGTAACGAAATCTGTGTCTGGATTCTTGTTTCTGTTTTGAAACATTTAAAACCGAAATTACTAAGTTTACTTCTTTATGCTCAGATGATTGGAGCATCCGATGAGCAGCTAGACGTATTTAATGAAGTCTGGTACATTATGTTGCTAAATACTGGACAAGCTGCCAAAGGTATATTAAACCTACTCGATATATATTCTAACTTCTCAGTAGTTCTCTTCTGACCGCATGTTTGAATTGCAGCCATAGAAGTAATTGAGAAACGGATCAAGAAGAGAGAAGGGGCTCCTTTCACGTGGCGTCTTCTGGTATAGCTCTGCTTGCGTATATTACTTTTTTTTTTTATGTGTGTCACAGTTTAATGTAGATGATTGCATCTTTGTTTTAGGAAAGAGCTTATCAGATGACGAACAATCATAAAGCAGCAATTGCTGGAGAAAAAGCCAAGGCATTAGAAGCTGCGTATTTCAAGTAGCCCAACACGAATACAGAGGTTGAACTGTCGTTCACCCTATTCTACCACAAAAATTATTAAATAAATGTGGTACATAGCTATTTTTCCAGTGTTTAAGCTCCATTACGTATAGTGTAATATGATTTGTATAATTGCTACTTGGAGCTTAATGGAATTGTATCATTGTATAATTGTTTTTTTGGATAAGACATTTTAACTAATCCTCGAGGCTTTAAAACCATCAGTGGATAAAAGTTTAAATGATCATCCCTGTTAGTATATTGAAAACTCGAAGTCAAGAGCTCAAAATCTCATTTTGTTCATTAACTATCGAGTCACCCAAATTTAATGTATAATTGTTATGGATAAGAAAAGAAGAAACAAGTAGACAACCTTCCCAAAAAGGGTATGTATTAAAAAGGCCCTATCAGACTTGCAGCATTGGTTCCCAGGGACCATTTCCCAGTAAAGAAAGAGATGTGTATCAAGTTTTTGGGTAGTTGGAAGTGGATAAAGCTCACGTAAAAGGCATTTATCAATGAATTTAAAGAAGACCATTAATGATTTAGGCTCATAGAATGTGCATTATACAGCGATTGCAGCTAAAATCACTTACAAAAGATAGTACGAATCATTTACCAAGTAGTGATGATGAGAATAGTATCAACTAATAATTTATTGTCTATACAAATCACAAAAGTAAAAATATATAGTGCAACTGAGAATGTATTGACAACTCAGTCAAACCCCACTCCGCACATGTGCATTTGCAGGTGGACAACATTCACGAATCACATCAAATCAACTCCGTTCAATGTTGACACGTCACTTGCATTCGAATTCGACCCAGGAAGCCCACGTGTACGGCTGTTTCTGATTCTTTTCAGCTCCTCCACTATTTCCTTTGCATCCGGACGGTCATCTTTGTCCGCCGCCACGCACCGGAACGCCAGTTCAGCTGCCGCATCAACACCCTCCATTGCCTCCTCATCATCCACCAAAACCGGGTCCACCACCTGATGGAGCATACCCAGTTGGATCTTCGACACCACTAAATCAGCCAATGCCACCTCACGCTTATCTCTACTCTGATCCACTGCTTTCAACCCAGATATCAACTCCAACAGCACCACACCGAAACTGTACACGTCACTCTTTTCAGTCAACCGGAAAGACCGGTGATAGTCCGGGTCTAAATACCCGGGCGTCCCCTGAGGTCCTGTACACACAAACCCAGAACTTGACGACGACGTCGTCTCAGGAAGAACCATAAGCCTTGACAACCCGAAATCTCCAACCTTGATTCTCATGTCTTTCTCAACAAAAATATTTGACGTCGTGATATCTCTGTGTACAATTGGCGGCACAACTGAGAAATGCAAGTACTCGAGAGCTAAAGCCGTTTGCAGAGCAATGTCAAGTCTCACTTGCCACGTCAAAGACCCTTTACGATACAGGCTATTTGATCCATGAAGATGGTCTGCAAGAGTTCCATTAGTGATATATTCATACACTAGAAGTAAGCCTCTAGGGTCGCTGCAGTACCCGTGAAGTTTGACGAGATTTGGGTGATCAATGGAGGACAAAATCAAGATTTCATTGCAGAAAGATTTGGTAGAGAAGGCTTTGGTAGAAGATGGTGTGCTGTGGTGTTGTTTACAGTGTAGATATTTTACTGCAACGATTCGGCCATCGAAGAGTTGACCTAAGTAGACTGAACCAAACCCTCCATCACCGATTTTGCGCTTTGGGTCGAACTTATTAGTTGAAAATTCGAGTTCTTCGTAGGTGAAGACAGGAGGGAGGAGACTAGCTGAGCGGTGACGGTGAAGAAAGAGAATTGTTGGATCTTCATCTGAGGCTGATTTGAACTGTCTAGACCTAAAAATAGCTATGCCAACTGAAAATGCAAGTAGCAAACATGTTAATGAGAAGATGATACTCAAGATAGCGATACGATTCAGGTTGGTTTCATGGATCCAAGGAGCTGATACGCTAGATTTGGAGTGGAAACATATAAATGGCTTGTTGGGGTGTGAAGAGTTGAAGCCACAAACACCGTTCTGAGCATGGCAAGATTTGCAGCTCGAAAAGTAAGAGTCTTGAGCTTCATCATACTCAACTTGGATACCCGCCGATATCAAGAAATTATCAAGAAAATCCAAGACGTCACTTTGGCAACCCTGCTCAGATGAAAGATCAACATGGTGTGTAGATTCACAGTCATGGACGAGCTTCGCCGGGTTCTTGATGAGCTTGCATTCAAAGGGACAATGGCTACAGTTGGGAAGATTTGGAGGGGAACAAGCACGAAGAACAGAGAGGCGAGAGCAAGAAGCGTCGGAGACTCGAAAGGGAGAGCCGGAGAAGTTGATGGAATGGTCCGGTACGGCAAGCAAGTGCAAAGAAGGACAAGCATTAGGAGATTTTATGGGTTGTGGAGAGAGAGAGAGAGAGGTGGAGTTGGGTTCGTAATGAAGGAGAGAAAAATTAAGGCTATTAATAGAGATAATAGCGTGTGAAGAAGAAGATGAACAATTAATCTGAAATGAAGGATGGCCACAACCAGGTGAAGAAGAGAAAGGAAATGGAGGAGTTGAAGTAAAAGGCGGACATGCAGATCCAGAAGTAGTTTCTTTCTGTGAAGAACATGACTGAGCAGCTCTAGAATTAGTGAAAACCCAGAAAAATGTTAAGGTAATAACAATGAGAAGATGATGAAAACAACAAGAGCTTAAGGAACACATGGAGAGAAAGAAATTAAATAAAAATAAAAATAAAAATATATGTTGACATGAAAGGTAAAAGAGTAAAGATGTGATATTGAATCTTGATCTGGAGTGTGTGAAGGGAAATGTGTTGCCTAGGTTATTGGAACAGAGAGAAGAAAAGGCAAAGGAGGGCTTTGGTTATCGGAAGCTAAAACTAAAGGTCAAAAAAAAAAAAAATAACAACACTAGCGGGGTCACGTGAAATGAGGTGGAGTGAAGACAAAAATACTCGAAAAGGGTGTAGCCAAAGAAGAAGACTTAGGGGCCGGGGAAGTGTGGAAAATATCGGCCCTTGCTTTATTATTATATATAAAATGGTTTGCTTTTTGAATTTACATAGCTTTCGTACTTGGGTCACTGAAAACTTTACGGTAGGTAGATGTTTAATGACTTTGGATTGGATCTGGGCCGTCGGCTTCATTGTGGTTGGTCAATTCTGAATGCTCTTTTCTTCTCGTGAATTCCCGGCATTGTTTCTTCAAATTCTTCTGATTTCATCTTCTACTTGGCGCTTTTTTTATTTTATTTTATATTCAAAATAAAAGTGTTTTTTAAAGGCTGTGGTGTCAACAACAGAACCTGATAATTATGCTTAATTACATCTCCAATTTTATTTTATTTCCCCCTAATTATACGGATTCTTTCAGAGATATACATTGAAGATGAAGAATGAGATGAGAGCGTCCTTGTCTGCATTCTGGTAAAACTATAATTACGGTTTTGAATAGGTAAGTGTACTCTGTACAGTGTTAGGCCTGCTCGCCTGCCTTATACGACTAACAATATTTAAGAAGACGCTAGAGCTCCACGCCCACTATCACAGGCACAGCTTTTCTTTTGGTTTGAAATAATGTGAAAAGGTGGAAGTACCATGAAATCTCCTAATATCATGTTTATTATTATTTTCTGTTTGCAGTTTTAATTTTAAAACACATCTGGTGGGGTGGGACAAGGCAAATTAAAATAATAAATGATGTTCTTGGGCTTCTTGTGTAGATTTCAGTGTTCTGGTAATGGGCTTTCATATAGTACATTCCATAGTCTATACTCATAGTCGAAAAGACCTTCTTCTTCTAGTCATGTCCCCACATAACATATAATTAAATCTATTGGTTGGTGGAGAATAAATTAATCTTACCATATTCCCATCAACCAAACTATACCAAGATGTCATTCCAAGAGGGTTAATAGTTGAGCAGTAGTACTGGTACAGAATATTACCGCCTCATGTGCTCATCACAACTTTTCAACTTAGCCGTGAGGCCTAGTAGGGACGAAAAGTTGACCATCTCAATCAATCCTCTGCATCTTAACCAGTGATGGATTTGGTTTTGAACATTCAAAACATTTATCTAATAAACTCAGTATTTGAAAATTAAAAAAAAAAAAAAAAAAAAAAGTAATGTTAGGTTCACAACGACTCTCACAACTTTTTCACACAAACCCCACTGTAATAGCTCGTTATTGGTCAACTCGTAAAATAGGTCTCACTTACTTTGCAAGCTAACCAATAACAAACTATCATGTCAGAGGTTATGAAAGAAAATTATGGACTTAACATTATTGATATAAAAAACCTTACAAGTGATAATAAATTAACAGCTACTGATCATTTAGTTGAATAAGAGCCACAAAGACTGACAGCTAATTCATATTCTTTTGTCCAACATACGCACACAGAAAATTACACGGGGCAATCAAAATATCCTTCACTTTGGATTTCAAATTCATATGATAACAATGAACTTAATCAGAGTTAAGAGCTTTTTGAACAGATCCTACGAAAAATGCTTGCAATGTGAATTCGAAGTTAAAACTCATACCATTACACCCTTCTAGTTTATTTTCCAGCATCATTATGCAACCCTAAGAAAGAAAGAGAACGAAGAAAAGTAAACTACTACCAGGTGGATAAATCCTCCTATGCCATTTGCACTCTATTTGTCAAACTCCCATATAACACCTCCATCCTCTGAAATAAGATAGCCAATATATGTTAGCAATAAGTAAATTTTGGAAGACAAATACATAAAAAGGTTAAGACAAATACTTCCAAATACCAACAAGTTTTTGGTCATGCCATTAGAACTAATAATTGTTTAAAGAGATATTTCCATTACTTTCAAGCACTTCACGCGCCAAAACAAACTGAAATCAGTCTCAAACAAGTCATCAATTTTCAACATCATTGAAATAAATTCCAAGATTCTCAAAGGCCAAAGAGAGAAAAGAAAAATACTTGCATGATTTATAAAGATTGTCATTCCCAGATTACAATATGGCTACAACTGCTCATATATATGATATGAATAATGTTCAACAATAAAAGGAAATGATTGGCATTTTTTGTTATCAGCACTCTTGTAATAGGCATTGCCTCCTTTGTTATAGATGGAAGAAATAAACAACAAATCTTATTAAATGGGGATGCTTAAAAAATTACTTCTCTCATCTCTTTTTCTTTTCAAATTCAATGTTTATTGTGAATGTTCTGATTAGCAATTTAATGAATGAGCCCAGTGACAAAGGCACACCATTTTCTAGCAAAACATCCTGGAACATCTCAATCCCAATAAATCTGGGATGGGTGCCTCATGAAATTGCCACAACAAAACAGACCATTATATGATCATTTTTCCATATCTAAAAGTTAGTAAGTTGCCTAGTCAAGCATCTTCAGATTCCTAACTGGGTATGCATAAACATTAAAAATTCTTATCCATCTTGTTATATGCAACACTTTTCTCAAATGAATGGCTCACTTTCATTATTATAACTTTGTTAATAAAATGTATATAATAAGCGATGTAGTCCTAACTCTTTATACTTCCCTTCATATGACTGAAATAGTATGCTATAAAAATTCTAGAAATCATTTTCAAGATAGAGGACACCTTCAAATACACATACCTGAAAGGCTTCTGCCTTGAGGCTTTTGTTTTACATTGTAGTGAGTACAAGTATTCACAAACGCTTTAGAGAAGGAAGGGTCTAATCTACCCTAAAAAGAAATGAAAAAGAACATAGAAATCCAGGGAATACCTTTAACTTTCTTTTTTATCCAGATCTCCAGCAACATCCCAGCACCAATTCCACCAGCAATGCATGATCCATAGAATGCTATGGCAGAGGGTAGAGATCTACGAGGAAGGAAATAATACTCTGGAATTTGCCTAACCTTTTTTGGAAGCCGTTTCTTTACTACTGGCTTAACACCTGCACTTGGATCCTTCTGCAATTCAGTGCCAATGGCTTTCCAGTCAACTCCTTTCAATGGATCTTTCGGCTCTTCACTTCCCATTACCTTACAATTTACAGCTCAATTCTGTGAGTAGAAAGCTATAGATTGTTTATAACGGGATCCAAAATATCAAACAATGTTAGAAATATGATACCAACAACACCACAAATTTCAATGCTATGTCGAAACTCACATATACAAAACACTCACATAGAAGCAGGCAAGTTGAATGCTCAATAATAGGTATCAATCGAAAGCCAAGTTTCAGAAACAAAAACAGATCATCTTAAGAGAAGCCAGTTTTTTGAATCCTTGTAGAAGTTTCAGACAAATAATTGATCCACATCTCTATTATCTAAAGAGCTTGAACAAAGGAACCTTAGCTGGTGCGTCTCTTTAGATGGTAATTCATTCATTAACTATGAGCTTCACATTATCTATGCTTGATTAACATGCATTTTAAAAAGAGAAAAAATAAAATAGAAAAGAATTGAATAGTTTAATTCAGCCAAAAAGCCCGACTCACAAAATTTAACCAACAGTGATTTTAACTAAAATAAATAAAGAATAGCGCATAACCAAAAACCCAACAAATTATTACATTCAATCAAGTTTCTTTTTGTTTTTGCAATCTGCATTACAAAAATCAAAACTCTAATGCTATACAATACCACCAGTGCCATTTATCAAACACTTAATATGCATAACAGAACACTGCAATTATAAACACAATTGATTATAAATCCAACCAATAAAAGACAATCCTGTTAACAGCAATAAATCGACAATCCTCAATACCATATCAAGCATACATGATCATCATAACCAGCCATTTATCAAACACTTAATATGCATAACAGAACACTTCAATTCTAAACACAATTGATTATCAATCCAACCAATACAATACAATCCTGTTAACAGCAATAAATCGACAATCGACAATCCCATATCAAGCATACATGATCATCATAACCAAAATTTAATTTAAAAAAGGGAATGTTTCCGAAACTCCCATATAAATTTCCATTTGGTTACCCAAAAAACCTAGAATAGTAAGTATAAAGAAACTTACAATTCGTTGTGTTATGTGTGGTATGTAGTTGAAAAAGCAAATCAAAGAACTTGTAAATACTGAGATTACTCCTTCTTCGGCGCGCGGAAAACCTAGAATAGTAAGTATAAAGAAACTTACAGTTGGTCCGGTGACACTAGAAGAAGTATTGTTTGGCTTCGCAATGTATTAAAAATAAGTCAGGGGCCATATGTAATTTTCAGGGTAGTATATTTGCAATGAAAACGGTATAGGTTATTTATTTTTTTTTATTTTTTTTAATAAGAGTGTTCGGGTCCGTTTGTGTATCCATCAATTAATCCTTCGTGACTTTAGAATTACTGGTCGAATAAGAAACCTAATGATCACCCATATTAGCAATTGTAGACAACTGTAAGGACTCAAATTCGAGAGATCATATTAGATCATCATTTTACTCTTTTACCATAAAAAATAACCGAACATAAGAGATCATATTAAATTTTTTTTTTTTTTTTTTTTTTTTGCTCTTATCCCATCCGTGGCCCATTAGTAATAGTAAACCAAATTCCAATAATATAATATCCTAAAAACCAGATCAAGTATTTATTATTTCCACTTACATGGATGTGACTAAAAGCACGAACGACAATCTTTAAAATAGTTTATTTTACTGTTTTAGGTCATCCGTAATGGATTATCGTTAATTATATATCCTTCTAACATTATTTAGATCAACGTTCACTTTCTCACTCTATGAGTATAAGAAGAATATTGGTTATGAGTTATGACCAATGCCCCACCCCCACTAACTAAATCGTTGTTGTATCAAATATTTGTGAAAACGGTGAGTTCCGCGCAGCTTAGTATTTAGTTAGTGAGAGGCTGGGGCTGTCCGTATGTTGGTTAGGTTGAATTTGATAGTGAGGAATCAATAAAATACTGTTACTCGTTAAATTAGCAAACAACACGAAAATTTTATGGGGTTAACTACTCACCAGTGGACTCATCAGAACTTATAAACTTAGCCCTAAAGGCCCAGTAGGTAGGACTAGGGATGTCTACCTCTTGACCTACGAATTGAAAAGTTGACAAGTCAAACACCAAGTTGTCATGAAATTTGTAACTTACCAAGAAATGATACAAGGTTTAGATTATTCATAGCATCACCCGCAGAATTCAATTTCATATTTAAAAATCAATAAAACGTTCTAGATTTCTTCAACATGCATTATCATAGGACATAATCATATAAATAAATAAATAAAACAAAATTGTCTCAGAAAAAGAATAGACAATTTCAAAGAAAGTGGAAACCTGAGTTTGAACGGTGTCGACTTCTAAAATCAAACTTCAATCGAGTCGCTCTAGTCCTCTTCTACGACAGATATCGAACAAGACAACAAACAACAGTGAACGAAACGAAACCCACCCTTGTAGTTTTGGTCGACTACAATGGAGGATGATTGTCTGAAAACAAAGCATCTACATCCCCATAATTAACCCACCCTTAAAATAAGACGGATGAAGGATATATTTGATATTTTATGTATAGTAATATTTAATCATGGGGAAGTATGTATGGTGTTATTTAAATTTTGTTTAATTAAATCATATATTATTGTTGATACATAAATCTATACCAACCAGAGAATTCCGATTGACCCTGTTGGAACCGGAATGGATGTGCACGTAATTATGGATAACTAACAGTGGATATGCAATAAAGTAAATGATAGAGAGATTTTTAAAGTGGTTCGGCAAGTTAGAACTTGAATCTACGTCCACTGTTATCTTATTATTTTTGAGAGCTTACAAAGAATAGTATAATTCCTAGGAAAAATTGCTTAGAACAATTGTCCAACCCCCTTGAAAACAAGTTATGATGGGTTTATATAGCACTCATTTACATGATATAGTTGAGATAAGATTAAAATACATAGGATTATGAAGTTGCATGATCTTCAGTTACCTTAGTTGGAATCTAAGTCAACCTGAATATCTTCCTTTCAAATTGAGCCAATCTAAATATCTTCTCTCCTAATAGGGAATTATTCCCTTCGAATTGACCGCACAACAATAGCCTCCCAGTTTTTTGAGCGCATAATCGCACTTCAAAAATTCATGTCTTTGATCTGGATGGTTGTCGCACTATAGGCTGCAGTCTCGAACTGAAAAACTTGAATTATGTTTGCCGCGATCTAAGAGATATGAGAGATCTTGAACACGTGATCTCAAGCAAATGAGCGAGCTTATGAGATTAATCAGAGAGCATAAAGAGATTGATCTGAGAGCATAGGGAGTTCGATCTGAGAGTACGAGGAGTTCGATTAGAAAGTGTGGAGAGCTTGATCTGAGAGCATAACTTGATCAAAAAGTATGGAGAGCTTGATATGAGAGCATAGCTCGATCAGAAAGCATGGAACATTTGATCTAAGAGCATTGCTCGATCAGAAAGAATGAAGGGCTTGATCTGAGAGCATAGCTCGATTAGAAAGCATGAAGGGTTTGTTCTAAGAGCATTGCTCGATCGGAAAGCATAGAGAACTTGATCTGAGAGCATTACTCGATCCAAAAGCTTGGAGAGCTTGATCTGAGAGCATGGCTCAATCAAAAATCATGGAGAGCTTAATTTGAGAGTATAGCTCGATCAGAAAGCATGAAGAGTTTGATCTGAGAGCATAGCTCGATCAGAAAGCATGAACAGCTTGATCTGAGAGCATAGTTCTATCAAAAAGCATGGAGAGCTTAATCTGAGAGCATATCTCAATCAAAAAGCATGGAGAACTTGATATGAGTGCATTGCTTGATCAGAAAGCATGGAGAGCTTGATATGAGTGCATTGCTCGATCAGAAAGCATGGAGAGCTTGATATAAGTGCATTGCTCGATCAGGAAGCATGGAGAGCTTGATCTGAGAGCATTGCTCGATTAAAAATCATAGAAAGCTTGATTTGAGAGCATGACTCGATCAGAAAGTATGAAAAGCTTGATATGAGAGCATGACTCGATCAGAAAGCATGAAAAGCTTGATCTGAGAGCATGGATTGATCAGAAAGCGTGGAGAGCTTGATGTGAGAGCATGGCTCGATCAGAAAGCATGAAGAGCTTGATCTGAGAGCATGGCTCGGTCAGAAAGCATGGAGAGCTTGATCTCAGAGCATGACTCGATCAGAAAGCATAGAGAGCTTGATCTGAGAGCATGGCTCGATGAGAAAGCATGAAGAGCTTGATCTGAGAGCATGGCTCTATCAGAAAGCATGAAGAGCTTGATCTGAGAGCATGGCTCTATCAGAAAGCATGGAGAGCTTGATCTGAGAGCATGGCTCGATTAGAAAGCATGGAGAGCTTGATCTGAGATCATGGCTCAATCAGAAAGCATGGAGAGCTTGATTTAAGAGCATTGCTCGATCATAAAACATGGAGAGCTTGATTCAAGAGTATTGCTCGATCAGAAAGCTTGTAGAGCTTAATCTGAGAGTATTCCTTGATCAAAAAGCATGAAAAGTTTTATCTGAGAGCATTGCTCAATCATAAAGCATGAAGAGCTTGATTCGACAGTATTGCTCGATCAGAAAGCTTGGAGAACTTGATCTAAGAGCATTGCTCAATCAAAAAACTTGAAGAGCTTGAGAGCTAGCGAGCTCTTTCTAATCTGAGAGATTTTAGCATGCGATCTAAAGCTGAAGATGAAAGTGATCTAAGCGCACAATCTGAGTGATCTGATTTGGAACATGCTTCAATATTTTAATAATAACTTGAGATGTAGACCTCATATTTGGATGATTCTTGGACCGTCAAAAAGCTAACTTGAATGGCTAAAATTCTTCTGTTACCACTTAGCCAAATTCAGACTTTATTCTACTCAAATTCTCATATTTGATGACGTGATTCTAGATTAAGAATTTAGGATTTGTTGAAGAAGTTGAGACTTCAGGGAAAAACATGGAGAGCTGCTGTGAATCAAGCCCTCCTTTTAGCGCCAAAATGTTGATACAAAAATCTGTACCAACCAGAGAATTCCGATTGACCCTGTCGGAACCGGAATGTATGTGCGCGTGATTACAAATAACCAACAGTGGATGAATAATAAATGCAATAAAGTAAATGACTGAGAGATTTTTAAAGTGGTTTGGCAAGTTATAACTTGAGCCTACGTCTACTGTTATCTTATTGTTTTTGAGAGCTTACAAATAATAGTATAATTCATAGGAAAATTTGCTTAGAACAATTGCCCAGCCCCCTTGAAAATAAGTTATGATGGGTTTATAAAGCACTTATTTACATGATAGAGTTGAGATAAGATTCAAATACGTAGGATTAGGAAGTTGCATGATTTTCGACTACCGTAGTTGGAATCTAAGTCAATCTGAATATCTTCCTTTCAAATTGAGCCAATCTAAATATCTTCTCTCCTAATAGGGAATTATCCTCTCCATATTGACTGCACAACAATTATATAAATTATCTTTGTTATAACATAATTTCATATTTATAAACTTTATCTTAAAAAGTATTGCATACATTATAAATTAACAATCATATTAAACAATATGTATTAAAATTTGAACAGAAAAATATTGTTTAATTCTATGATTAACAACAATCACTATTTGATGTGCGTTAAATGACACCATTTATATCAAAACAATTAGTTAGATTAATTCTATCGTCATATGATTATGTTTAAAATGTGGATGTCATTAAAAGCCACAAAAGGTGGAGAGAAATTTAATTGATTTAACCCCAAGGGGTTGTTTTGACTTACAGGTTCAAACAATCTTGGGACTATCTATTACATTTTTGACTTAACTTTAAATATTGAGTTTGTAAGGATTAGTCAAGATGCTTTTTTTTTGTTTTGACACCTTGTTCACAAAAAAATAATAATTATTAGATTTTTTTTGTCTCATGTGGTTTACAACATCCTATATTGTAATTTTTGTCCTTGATTGATAGATCAAACTCAACAGGGGACATATTAGGTATATTAGATATTATTTGCCGGTTATTAAGATATGTTTGTGGGCATCCAAATATTATTTTAGTATAAATTTCAAATCAGTAAATGACTATATGAAACATTTTAATCTTTTGAAAATCGAAAGAAAGTAAACTAAAATATGGGGACTACACTGTATTAATCCCAAACCTAGTACAAGTCTAGATACCAACGTACCAGAAACAGTTTACACACACCGTATGCCACGCTCGTTCAGCGCGTCAACTTCAATACTTCCTGAGTTCTTTCCTGACGCCCCACCTAGAAGTTTCATTGTATTGTATTGGATTTGATTTTTATTTGTATTTGGTCAAACCTCTATTGCAAATCTCTGTACACGTAATTTCATTGTCATCTTCCTTCTCTTGTCTATTAAGAAACTAAATTACAACAAGAAACCAAACAAATTCACCTTTCCTTTTATTAATTATTAATAACTTCAAACCACTGTGCAATGTAATTACTCATTTTCTTCCCCATATAAATATCCCATTTTTGTTTTAGTTCTTTAGTTCTCACTACCCCCAATTACTCTCTCTCTCTCTCTTAATCATCATCAACTAAAGCTTGCAGTTACAACTTATAATCTCTTGATTGCACATGGAGCTCTTCACCAAGGCCAAGGCAGTGAAACTCCGCAGCCATCTCGACAAGTATCTAGTCGCCGACGACGATCAAGAAACGGTGCGTCAAAGTAGAAACGGGTCAGTAAAGAGAGCTATATGGTTAGTCGAGTTAGTTGAAAACAGAGACGACGTCGTTCGTTTCAAAAGTTGCTATGGTAAGTACTTAACCGCCTCTGATCTTCCCTTTCTTCTGGGCATGACGGGTAAAAAGGCAATCCAAACAGTACCGGAGAACAACATGGACTGGAAAATTGATTGGGAGCCAATAAGGGACGGGTTTCAAGTGAAGCTCAAGTCATGGTGTGGGAAATTTTTACGTGGAAACGGAGGAACGCCGCCGTGGAGAAACTCGGTCACTCATGACGAACCGTATTCTGGTTCAACAAAGAACTGGATTTTGTGGGATGTGCAGGAGGTGGAAGTACCGGAAACGGGGTCGTTGAAGGAGTATTGGTCGTCAGTGTCGAGTTTCTCTTCGGTTTCCGATGAGGTTTTGGAGGTTTTTTCCGATGATTTTTTGGGTTCAGGGCCACAATCCCCCATGTCAGTCGTGTCACCTAATTTGAAGTCTTCCAGATTCTCAATTTTTCCGACTCAGTCGCTCAAAATTTTATCAAAAAAGCAGGTACGTAACCTAAACTACTGCTGCATCTTCTTTAACTTGCTAAACAATTATAGTATGATTTTACTAAGGATTAATTATTGATAATAAAAGACAAAGATAGAGTTTGGTGTTTGCAGGCTATGAAATTATTATATGATTAGAAAACGTTAATGACTATATTAGCAAGTCAGTCAATCTAGGTGACAAAATGGCAATTTTAAATGTCTCTTACACATTACTGTAGACCATGTACACATTATCAAATCAAATGGGCCTAAATAACGTGCCCAGCCCGTTCGTCTAAGGACATTTATCTTGAAACATTATTATAATTACTTGACTTTAAAAAATATATATATAAGACTAGTACAGAAGTTTCAATTATTGTGTCAAACCCCACCTCTAAGATTCTAAAGACACCTCAAAAAGAAAAATAAAAAAGCCAAAAATGTAATTATATGGTATGAATATTTGGGATGCGCATTTTGGGTAAAGTTTATGGAGTGAAAGCAAGTATATACTTGTGTTATTCAAAGACAAAATAATACAAAACCAAAAACTTATAACTCCATTAAAACGCACTTGTTATAACATAAATGCCCACCAAACATTAAGCACTAAACACGAAACCCACTCAAGTTTCTCTCCATTTTTGCCTCATCCCAATCCCATTTATTTTAGTCACCTACACAATCATTTATCACCTTCCCCTGCCTCTTGTTCTTGTTTTACGTCTTTTTTATCAACCCAATTTTAAACCTCTTTATCAGGGATTGATCCGATAATTAAGAAGTTTTATTTATTTCATTAATTCTTTGGGTTTAAACCATTTTGAGACTAGATTTACCTAGAACATTAAATTTATAAGATGTTTAATAAACATAAAAAATTAATTGAAATACGCATAAACTGGTTCAAACACCTTAATACAAATCTTAATTCTCCATAATAAAGGTCTTAACTCTACCAAATCTTTATGATTATTATTAAAAATGCTTGAGAATCATTATTAATTAGGAAGCACAGTCGTCTCCTCTGTATGAGTGCATGTGACTTTTAATACCACCTTAATTAGACATTTATATTTATTGTGCCTTACTCTTCTTCCTTTCTAACTCTTGCCTATCTTAATTTCTTTTAGTAAGTTATGAACCATACACGTGTGATTATTTAATCTCATTTAAATTTCGTAAGGTCTTGCCATAAATCTGACATAATCTTGTGAGATATTTAGATTTACATTATACTTTATATAGTAATTAACTCAAAAAAATTATTTCACACAGTAAAATGATACGTCGGTTGAAGTCAAACCCTGTAATTTATGTCCATTAATGACATTACTTAATTGGAAAATAAGAATAAAATATTATATAATTATGATAACTCGGCACGTTATTATCGATTAAAATTTCCTTAAACCCTTCTTCGTCAACACGAAGTTTCGTAGACCGACTCGGTAGTCATCTTGATGATGATCAGATCATCCAGATCTGGTGCCAACGTGGATTAACGGCAGCTGACACGAAACTCACACGCAAGCCCTGTAAAATTACTAAAATAACATTATGCCACGTATCCGGCAGCGTCCTTTTCACCGCGTGACTCCTCCTCCAGTTCCCTCTACGGCTGTCTCTCTTTGACTTTATCACCTCCAGCTCTGACCTTTCCCTATATATAAATTTGTCTTCACATTGCCTGCCCATGTGAATCTTGAATCTCCTCTAGCTCAGTTCACAACTAAAATTCCAATCTTTATTATCCACTTCAAGTTTTTCACACTTTTTATTTATCGCTTTTTTCTCAGTCAATCTCTGAATCTAACCACCACCGAAGTGGGATGGACTACTTTAACAACGCCAAGGCGGTGCGTCTCCGTAGCCACCACGACAAGTTTCTTGTTGCCGAGGAAGACGAAGAATCGGTTACTCAAGATCGTAACGGATCCTCCAAGAGTGCCAGGTGGACTGTTGAGCTTGTTCCTGGAACGCAGAACATAATTCGTCTTAAAAGCTGTCATGGAAAATATCTCACCGCCTCCAACCAGCCGTTTTTGCTGGGTATGACGGGTCGGAAAGTGGTTCAGTCTCTGCCCAGAAAGCTTGACTCTTCTGTTGAATGGGAACCCGTCAGAGAAGCGAACCAAGTGAAGCTCAAGACGCGTTACGGTCATTTTTTGAGAGCCAATGGGGGCTTGCCGCCTTGGAGAAACTCTGTCACTCATGATATTCCTCATAGAACAGCAACTCAAGATTGGGTATTGTGGGATGTTCATGTGGTTGAGATTTTGGTTCAGTCTCATCAAGAAGCTCCAGCTCCACCACCCGTTCCTCATTCGGATTCTTTAGATTTTGGGTCAAATTCACCTTCTTCCGTTATTACCAAACCTGGGAACTTTTCAAGACAAGAGGTTCGTGATCTATTCTATTCTTCCTTAGAAAAAAATAAAAAAAGTACAATTTTTGTTCTGGGTGTTCATTTTTTTTAATGTCTGTTGTGTGATGGTTTTCAGTCAAACGATTCGCATGTGGGTTCGCCACCAAAGTCTGAGGGAAGGACTATATACTACCACGTGGCTGAGGAGAGCGGAGAGGTTGATGATGTTGGAACGGAGGGTTATTCTTTAAGCTTTAAGGGAACAGGAGTTGAAGAATTGACTCAAAAATTGAAGGAAGATCTAGGTATTGAGGACATCGTTGTGTGTACTCGAAGTCCTTTGAATGGAAAGCTTTTTCCCCTGCGGCTCCAACTTCCTCCAAACAATGCTGATATGCATGTTGTTGTTGTTCTATTATCTTCAAAAGGTCAGATTTAGATTAATGCACACATATATTGATAAATTGCTTGTTTTGATCTTGATAGAGGCTGTGATTTTGTAATTTAGTTTAGATGTTTTTTAGTTTGCATCGCAACCACTCATTGCCATAGACTTCCTCTCTGATTGCTTTCTCAAACTTGTCTCAAATAAACATAAACATAAATCTTGATGTTTCTAGTGTTTGGAATTTGGTTGTTAGTCATATTGTTACTATAATTTTATTTTGGCATTAGTTTTTACCAACCAATCTAGTATAATGTTGTATTAGATAATTCATTCAAAATAATGTTGTGGCTTTTAGACATGGCTGGGTGTTGTCTCTTCATTTGTTGTTGGTTATAATACCATCGTAACACTAAGCATTTACCACTTTGTCTTTCTTAAGCTGTTAAGAGCACAGGTTAGCCCAAAAGGGAAAAGGGAACAAATTGCAGGCATAAATATTTTTCCCATTTGCTTACTCTGGAGCTCGTTCTCTAGTACTTGGAAAAATGTTGTTTTAAATGAATCTGGTAACCGCCCATAAAGATTTTTTGTGGATAGATAATACTGCCTAAACAAGAACGTGAAAGAATTTTTATTTCCTGGAATTTGTGAAAATCGATATTGCATCTCGAGGCTTTTCCTATTGGGTTTGCACATCATTGGAAGATGCATATAACTATTTTTTTTTTTTTTTAGTACGTTGGGTATCAAAATACTGTAGTTTAGATAATCTAACTTAAAACTTAAGAGTCCAAGGAAACTCCTATGCAATTTCTTGTGCTATTTCATATCTCCATTTCAGATGATGCCTTCTTTCATCCTTGCTTACGTTTTTTCTTTCTTTATGTATCAGGGGCCAGAGAATTTGCAAGACAGGGGATCCAATCATAAGATGCATTGTTTGGACATCATAGGTTGTATGCAATATGTATTCACAACCTTCATGTTCTGTACATACCAATTCAGCCATATCAATATGCTAGTTGAAAGCATTCAAGGAGTCAGTAAAAATGGGAGTTGCTTTTGGCTATTGTGAGACACAGCAGGAATGGTCTAGCACTGGGAAACATAAGAAAATGAGATGCCCTTGTAGCAGCCAAGGGTCACAATTTTATTCAGCTTGGAAGAGTTATTGAAATTTAAATTCCTTTGTTGGTTCACTGATCAATTTTGTTTTAGCTCAACTTTTTTATTATACAAAAAAAAAAAAAGTATGGTTTGCCGCTTGGAACCTCCAGGTGCTTGCTGTCTTGTAAACACTATACTTATAAAATCATAAATTTATTTTGTTGGCTTGAAACCTCTTGTTACTCTTTCATTTTACAGATTTTTTATCTTCTTTGACGTAGTAATGCATAAATCAATTGAAAAGGGTATCTACTTGCTAAGGAAAACTCATTCAGAGGTTGGTATGTGCATTTGTTATGAGTTTGAATAATGATTTGAGAATTGAGAGCAATTAGCGGCTGGAGTGGGAGGTCATTACCAAATGTTTGAAATAGTGCAACTGGCTTTTAGAAAATGATAAAAAGGTGGTAGTTGCGTTGGCCACTATCTATTGTTGAGATTATCTAGAAATACAACTGTCAGAGGCTTATTCTGATCTCGCTGGGGATAATTGATTGCTATGTTAAAGGTAATCCTCACTAAAGTATAACCAGTGGTGCAGGTCTGAGGTTACATTGTGGATGAGATTCATTCCAGAAGTTTTGATTACTTGAAAGCAAAATTGCTTTGCACCTAAGAAATTGGAAAAAGGGCACTCAATTAATGTAGGTCCTATTTATAATAACTTTTTTGTTCTATTGTCAACACACGCATAACTACCTTTTCTTTTAACAGATTTGACAAATGAGTGATTAAAAAAATCTCTCTTTATTTCTTACTTCCTTCCAAAGTCACCCCGTCCAAACCAATCAACTACACCCCAACCAAAAATTATTCATCAATATCTACAGTTATACAAAATTAAAAATAAATTTAAATCAATTAGAATAAACAATAGAACATGAGACTAAATCAATCAATGTGGTTATCAGATTCATTTGTTTACGGATTCAAATCCTAAACCTCTTATAATCAAATGATCACTTTTAAATCTATCTTGATAGAACAAAAATCTATTTCATCCCTCGGATATCACAATTTTCCTTCTTATATTGACAAAATGAAAATTTGATTTGATTTATATTTACTTTTAATTTTGATGACTGAAAATATAAAGTTTTGAAGTGGAGTATATGATAGAAGAAGAATTTTTTATATAATAATTTTATCCCACTTAAACTCGAAGATGGGGATTAAAGACAAAAATAGTGGAGTAAAAATCACTTGCCTAATTCTCTTATGGGGCGTTTGATTGGAAGTTACGTAGAATTATTGAAATTATATTATCTTACATTACTTGATTACCACGTTTGGTTGTCAACTAATATAAGATTCTGTTAATTTTCAAATACCAATAATTAGTTACTGTTGATAATATTGGAGGTAATCTGATTACCTCTATTTTCTTAGGCAATATAACATTATTAAGGTAATCTTTTTTTTTTGTTACAATTATATCCCTTATTAATAAAATTTTAGGATAATAATACCCTTATTTTAAAATTAATTTACATAAATATAGCTTTTACTATTTCACCCCAACTAATTAACTTTGTGGACAAAATTACCTTTCAATTCAAAACAAATTGCAACTCACCCACCTGCTGTCGCGAGTTGCTGGCAACTATTGACGGCGGCTAACCACTGCCGCCGGCGGAACGGCTCACGGAAGGCCGAAAATGGTCATCGTGCGCTGATATGGCGATTTCTAGCCAGAAATGGCCAGATCGTGACAGATCTGGCCAAAAATGGCCACACAACGCACGGAGGCCATTTCCTACCTTTTGTGCACCATTAGGTTGCCGACTACCGGTGGCCGACGATGGTTGCCGACGGCCGACAGTGGCTAGGTTGGTGGAGGAGCATTATTGATTTTCCAAACTTTTATTATGAGGTTGTTTTTGCTAAGTTTTTAAATGTAGGGGGGTTATAAAAAATCCAAATAACAATATTAAACAATAATATAATAATAATATTTAATAAGAGGACAATTCAGTAATTTAAATGACATACCCACAAATTTATTCCTCACAACCAAACATATTAATATAACATACCTGCAAATTAACCAACACATTTTCCTAAAGATTCCTGATAATCTTCAAGGTAATTTAACTTTCCAGTAATCTAACATTCACTGAACTAAACGCACCCTTAATATCATGAGCTTGGGAAACCGGGCTCCATCACCGAGCCCATTACTACAGCTCCATGGCTAACCCAAGTATCTTAAATAAAATTTCAACTTCATAAATGGTGCAGTTTGGGTTTTCCCAAGGTTACACTTTACAGAACCATCAAGTGTTAAATCTATATGATCTCTTTTGTACAACAGCCATTAGCCCATTACCAATAATCCATGCATGAGCAGAAGCCGTCTTTAAAGTGATGAAATCTGGCGCGATCTCTCACAATAATCTCAACATTGAAGATTTTAGAGATGAGTTTGGTTACCCGGTGACAGTCATTGCATACTCGAAGATTCTTGAAAACACGAATTGGTATGCCTGGTTTCAAGTTCAAGATCCCCAAAGCAATGGCAAGTCTCTCACTATGCAGCCTGAGTGAGTGTTGTTTACCATCATTGAGTTCATCAACCATGGGGGCTTGTGAATAGTCAGGTGAATACCCCATACCTTTCAGCCTATCATCAATCACATCCAAAACCCCATATATTTGTTTAGTTTGAGGATGGGAAGTATCCCCAGCAAAAAATTCATGGGCAACACCATTTATCTCTATTGAACTGCAGCCAGGCTCTTTTGTTACACCTTTGTCACTCATCAATTTCCTCACCAACCCAACATCGTTCCACCTGCTAGCTGATGCATACACTCTAGACAAAAGCACATAAACGCCACTGCAAATGCCGCCTTCTGACTCAAAAATTTGTTTAGCCATTTCTTCACTTAGCTCCACACTCGCATTTTTCTTGCTACAAGCATCAAGAAGACTCCTCCATATTACCGCATCAGGTTTCATTGGCATGTTTGATACAATATCTAGGGCTTCATCGATATGCCCAGCACGAGCAAGAAGATCAACAAGGCATCCATAGTGCTCTAATACAGGTGTAATGTTATACTCTTTTATCATCAGATCAAATAACTCACGGCCCTCGGTAACCATGCCTCTATGGTTACACGCACTTAACACACCAACAAATGTGATTGCATTGGGACCAAAGCTTTCGCCTTTTACAAGCCTAGCAAAATATTCCAATGTTGCATCAGCCTGTCCATACATGGCAAATCCTAGAATTATAGAATTCCATGAAGTTATATCACGTTTAGGCATCCTCTCAAAGACTTGTTGAGCTAATTCTAACGACCCACATTTGCAATACAACTCAATTAACGAATTGTTTATGAGAATATCCGAAACTAAACCAGATTCACATTTGTTCAAAATATAAGCATGTGCCCACATGCCTAGAGACAAAGCACCCAAACCAGCACAAGCACTTATAATACTCTGCAATGTATAACCATCAGGTTCAAACAAATTCTGCATTTGACCGAACAGTTTCAATGCAGAATCAAACTCACCGAACTGAACAAAAGCATCAATCATAACATTCCACGAAACAATGCTTCTTTCAAGCATATTCTCAAACACTTTCTCTGATAAGTCCAAGCACCCACAAGAAGCATAAAAGTGAATCAAACTGTTATTTATATAAACATCTGAACCAAACCCATATTTCAAAATTTGGGCATGAGCTTGTTTCCCCTCAAAGAGAGCAAACAAGTATGCACAAGCTTTCAAAGCAAATGGGAACGTGTGCTTATCAGGCATAACATTTCCTTCCTCTAACATCCTTTTATAAAGGTTTATAGCCTGTAGTTTAGAATCAACGTTTTTTGCGCAAGCTCTTATAAGTGTATTCCACATAAAGGAATTGGGAGTATCGATTTGATCAAAAACACGATACGCATAGTCAAGATCAGCAGAGGATGCGAAATTGAGAATTCTACTGAAGAGAAAGAGAGAGTGGTGATGGTGAGGCAATGTGGTACGGAGAGTTTGAGCATGGATTTGTTTCAGCTGAGACATGTTGTTACACTCAGATAAGGATAAGAGAAGAAGGCTGTAATTACTAACTGAGTTGCCATTCTTGTTGTTAGTGGTGGTGGAGAGATTTTGAGGTGGTGGTGGTGGTGGTGCAGTTAATGAAAGTGCTAGAACCATTTCGCAAACAGATTAACGAAATGCTTATTTCTCAATGCGCTCAGCTTTTGCCGGAGTAGAGGTGACAAAATGGGTCGTAACACGACACACCCCACCCCGTTTACTTTAGCGACCACTCAGGTATGATACTGTGTGGTTTTTACAGGTTACCAACCCGGTTGTCAAATCCTGACAAGTGGAGGAGATGAACATGAACAAGCAAATTGACGTTGTTTATTTATTTGTTTTTTTAATTTCCGACCCCAATTTTTCTATAAATTGTAAAACAATCTTAATAGCAATTTTTATCAGTTCCATGGATGGCAACGAATCAGCGATATAATCATATTGTTATGTCCTAAAATTGTATAATCTTAAATCCAAAATATCTAAAACTTTGATGCATTTTCACTACTTATAAAACCAATAAAACATACTTGAATCTATGTGTAACCTTTAAATGAGATTGTGTAAGAAGACACAATATATCTCTTGATTTATTCTCTTATTATCAATTTCTTCCTTTGATGGATAAAAAAAAATATATATATATGTAATGAATTAAATTTTGTTGGGAATAGAGAGAGAATACCTCTTTTATATGGTAGTTCAAAAACTCTCAAACTGTAGTTATTTAATTAACTGCAATAACCTCTCCATCAAAGGTAAATGGCCATCATGCCTTTCAGTTAATTTAATTATTTCAAAACAACTATATGATAAAATTAATACATGGACCACCGTATGAGAAATATAAAATATTTATAACATTCTCCCACTTGATCCATATAAAAGTAAATAACTTTATGGGGACGTTTGATTGCGGGTTATATGGGATTACTGAGATTAAATCATCTTCTATTACTTGATTAGCATGTTTGGTTTATTAAGTAATATAAGATTCTGGTAATCTTCAAATACCAATAGTAGCTACTGTTGGTAATATTGGAGGTAATCAGATTACCTCCATTTTCTTAGGTATTGTAAGATTACTTGGGTAATTTTTTTTTTTTTTACAATTTTATCCCTCATTAATAAAATTTTAGGACAATAATGCCCTTATTTTTAAATTTATTTACATGAATCTTGCTTTTACCATTTCACCCCATTTAATTAATTTTTTTGGACAAAATTACCCTTGAAATCAAAACAAATTTCAGCTTACCTAAGCGACCACCCCTACCCACTTGCTGCCGCTAGCCAAACTGGCAGCAAGCCAAACCATTGCTGGTCGCCATGGGAAGTCATCGGAAGTCACCTGGAGTCGCCGTGAGCAACCCACCGTGATCAAGAGGCCCCAATACGGCCATTTCTGGCCATATTGATGGTCGAAAAGGTCATATCGGGAGCAGATCTAGCATGATATGGCCTTTCGGCCATCAATATGGCCAAAAACGGCCATATCACAGTCTTGTGGTCACGGTGAGCTGCTCACGACAACTTTCGGAGACTTTCAGCGGTGGTTTGCGGTGGCGGCAAGCAGTGGTAGGGGGTGGGGGTGATTTTTTTGTAAATAAAAGTTTTATATAAGTGGGGATGTTTTAGCTAAATCTGAAATATTGACAGTTAAAAGAATTATTCAAAAATTAATAAAAAAAATAATATTATATTAATATTTAAGGTAATTTATCAAGTTAAATAACATACTCACCAATTTATTCCCCATAACCAAACATATTAATATAACATACCCACCAACTAACTAAACATATTTTCCTAAAGATTCCCAGTAATTTTCAATTTAATATAAGATTCCAGTAATCCAACATTCCCAGTAATCCAACATTCCCTGAACCAAACGCCCCCTATAGTTTAGAAATAACACATAATGTGTACACAATAATAATTAGCCAAAAGGCAATTTCTTAAAATGGTCAAACATATAAACATTATTGAGCAAGAACTCATAAGGATCATGGCGGTCGTTTGTCATTGAATCAACATAGTCCCTTTCATGTATCATGTTACAAATTCTATACCTAGAATAATCTATAATGATTCTTAATGGTCCAACAATAATGTCCTTATCAAGGACAAATTCTATCATCTTTATCATTTATGTATATCAAACAACATAATATAAAGAAACACACAACAAAATAATTTACATGAATCAGAAACAACACATCAAGTGCTCAGAGTGTCCAAAACACGAGAAGCATAATGTAAATCAAGAAACATATACAACACATCATAAATTAGTCATGACAAACAATAATACCCATCCTCTCAATGTGCTCACTATAGGTCTTAGGTGACAACCCTTTAGTCAACAGATCCGCTATCATAAAATTTGTGCTGTTATGCTCAATAGTCACTCTCTGTTTCTGAACTTCTTCTTTAACGGCAAAATATTTCAATTCCATATGTTTAACACCCTTTGAATATTTGTTGTTTTTAGAGAAGAAAATTGATGCGGCATTATCACAATAAATTTTTAGTGGCCTGGCAATACTGTCGACAATCCCAACCCCTGAAATAAAATTCCATAGCAATAATCCTTGAACTGTGGCCTCAAAGCATGCCACAAATTCAGCCTCCATAGTGGAAGCAGTAATGACAGATTTCTTCGCACCATGAAACTGCTCATCCAGCTAACATAAATACGTACCCAAATGTGGATTTTCTGGTGTCTACACAACCAGAAAAATCTGAATCTGAATATCCAATTACCTTGACATAATCAGATCTCCTATAAGTAAGCATATGGTCCTTCTCCCTTGTAAATATCTTAATACTTTCTTTGCAGTTCGCCAATGATCCATTCTAGGATTACTCTAATATCTGCCCAGTAAGCCAACCGCAAAACTAATGTCTGGTCTGGTACATGTCTGANAATCTTAAATCCCAAAAATCTGAAACTTTGATGCATTTTCACTATTTATAAAACGAATAAAATATACCTGAATCCATATGTAATCTTTAAATGAGATTGTGAAAGAGGACACTGTATATCTCTCCCTTTGTTCCCTTATTATCAATCTCTTCTTTTGATGAACAAAGAAAAATATACGTAATGAATTAATTTGGGAATAGAGAGAGAATACCTCTTTTATATGGCAGTTCAAAAACTCCCAAAGTGCAGTTATTTAATTAATTGCAGAACCTCTCCATCAAAGGTAAATGACCAACCACATAGGATGCCTCACCCATATTCTTCATCTCAAAGTTCTTAGAAAGAAACTTCTTGGTTTCATTAATCATACCAAGATCATTAGTAGCAAGCAAGATGTCATCAACATATAGAACTAGAATTACAAATGCGTTCCCACTGACCTTCAGATATATAAACCGATTAATAGTGTTTTCTTTAAATCCGAAAGTGGTAATGCTATTATGAAACTTGAGGTACCACTGCCTAGAAGCTTGTTTCTGTCCATATATTCATCTCTTTAATTTACACACCATGTGTTCCTTCCCTTTAATTGGAAAACCATCAGGTTGTTCCATGTATACTTCTTCTTCTAAATTCTCATTCAGAAAGGCTGTTTTCACATCCATTTGATGAAGTTCCAAATCATAATGAGCTACCATTGCCATAATAATTCTAAAAGAGTTCTTTGAGGAAACCGGTGAAAAGGCTCGTTCTAATCAACACCATCTTTCTGAGTAAAGCCTTTAGCAACAAGTCTAGCCTTGTATCGTTCAATATTGCAATTAGAGTTACGTTTGGTCTCAAAGACCCATTTACACCTGACTGTTCTACAACTGGCAATACTATTAAATCCTAGACTTCGTTGTATTCCATTGATTTTAACTCTTCTTTCATGGCGTCTAACCATTTTGCAGAATTATCACTTTGAAGGGCTTGTGAAAACGAAATTGGATATGCTTCCATTCCCAAGTCAAATTCTGACTCTTGAAGAAAAACCACATAATCATTAGTAATGGTAGATCTCATTTGTCTTTGAGATCTTCTCAATGTCACTTCTTGTTTTTCATTTACTACTTCATGTGGTTCATCCATTACATGTTCATTGACTGCTACATTATTAGGAAGGGTTTGCTCAATTATTTGTTGTTCTTGATTGTTATCAAAACGTCTGACAACTACAGGAATCACAACCTCAGTAAAAGTCATAGGCGTAGGAACCTGTACCTTGACTTCTTGAATATCCACTTTATGTGGTTCAACACTCCCACTAGTTTCACCATTCCCAATGAATCTTGCATTTCCAGCTTCAACTATTCTCATCCTATGATCAGGATAGTAAAAATGATACCCTTTAGATTTTTCTGGATAACCAATAAAAAATCTATTGATTGTTCTTGAATCCAGTTTCTTTTCATGTGGATTATAGATTCTAACTTCTGCTGGGCAACCCCAAACATGTAGGTGCCTCAAACTGGGTTTCCTTCCTTTCCACAGTTCAAAAGGAGTCTTTGGAACTATCTTACTAGTGTCACGGGCTAGGAGTTTCACACCCAAAAGGCTAACCTGTTAGGTGGAGGGACTCCTCCCATTTATAAGCCCAAGACCTCCCCAATACGCTTTCAATGTGGGATTTGTTACATTCTCCCCCATCCAATCCTGTGACTCCCTCGTCACAGGTGAGGCCCCCTGCCTGCCCATCCACCTCACTCTCGTGTGGACCCACAATCACACGTGGACGCCCCTGCGTGGATGTTTGGTGGGACATCGAAAGACGGATTGGGTCTGCTCTGATACCACTTGTCATGGGATGGGAGTTTCACACCCAAAAGGCTAACCTGTTAGGTGGAGGGACTCCTCCCATTTATAAGCCCAAGACCTCCCCAATACGCTTTCAATGTGGGATTTGTTACACTAGGAACCCTGTTTAATAAATATACAGCAAGCTTTAATGCATATATCCACAATGATGAGGGTAACGAGGAGTTACTCAACATACTCCTAACCATATCCATTAACGTATAGTTAGGCCTTTCTGCAACATTATTTTGTTGCGGTGTCCCTGGCATTGTGTATTGAGCACATATGCCTCGACTTTCTAGGAATTTAGCAAATAGACCTGGACACTGTCCAGATTCATTGTATCTGCCATAATATTCACCACCTCTATCTGATCGAACTACTTTCACCTTTCTATCTAATTGTCTCTCAACTTCAGTAATGAATACCTCTAGGATATTAACAGATTGAGATTTCTCACACAACAAATAGACATATTCATATCATGAAAAGTCATCTATAAAAGTGATAAAATAACTTTCCCCACTAAAAGAAGGTACGTCGAACGGACCACATATATCTGTGTGTATTAGTTCAAGGAGTCCTGTGGTT